TACAAGTTCTTGGGCGAACCAGCGGAAGAATTCTTCCCGCACTTCCGGCCAAGGGAAGCGTACCTATATCCGCGCACTACCATAACGACTGCCACCAGCAAAACGAGACTTGCTCCAAAAGGAACTCGCGCGCATGGGAGTAGTAGAAGAATGGTGGTAGAAGAATACGACTGAACTCCCTCACCGTTGCCGATAGCTATCCTTTATCAAAGATGACCTCCTTCACACTGCGAAAGCGCATGTAATCAGCAACACTGACATAATTTAATTTGATTTTAGTAGATATGCAGCTGAAAGTTCTTTGGGGTTGCCTGATTGTGATAAAATACATAAGGTAGTATCACAATAGGGTTGGTTTGTTCGAAAATTTGGGTGAATGATCCTGACCGTGTACTTGCTTGTGAAGGCTTGGGACGCCAAAAAGCCGCAGGAAATAACGCGTTTTAGTTCAGACTACAAGCGAATTTTGCAGTCGTCATTGTTGCATTGGTTTAACCCGCATATCCTGCGTATATAGACCGTGGCTAACATGTCCAGTCATCATTATTTCCCCAGTTTGATTATCTTCAAGTTTCACACTTGTGTCATAGAGCGAAAATCCTTTCTTGAAGTTACTGTCACGGAGAACAAATAAGCACTTGCTTGAGGAACATAAAATTTTTTATCGAGCACTCTTTCGCCCAATGGCCCTTTTGATTACATTTATGACATGGGAAATTTTGTTTTGCACGATCTGTATCTTTTTTGGATTTCTCACTATTTTGCGTTAGGTGTCGTACTTCATCTTCATTTAATACAGGACAATCGCGCGTACCATCACGATATCATGCGCCCCCAACAACATCGAGTCATACCACTTCCACTTCGGGATCCTCGGACGCCATATTGAATTTTTACGGAATGAGATAGAGGACAAAAAAGTAATTCATTTTAATGCATCGCCATCATGACCATGTTGATTCAGCAAGATCTAGTTACATTTTTAGCGCATTTCCACAAAAATTCAAAAAATGCGCTGTTGTGGCCACTTTGTCCGTCCGTCCGCTCGGCTGTCCGTCCGCTCGTTCGTTGAGACGCTACTAGTTCTTTATCTTAATAGCTATTGTTCTACTTTTTTCGCTATTTGGTTCGTTATGGTGTCGAGGCTTGCACCAAGGAAGGAATTATTTCTGCGTTTATTGCTAAAAAAGTTATTGTAAAAAAACCAACAAACCGTTTTTTACAATTTTACACTTACGATCCTAGAGATCGCTTATAATTTTGTATTGCTGTCTGTCGTCTGTCTGTTGGTCTGTCCGTGTGTTCTTTTGTATGTCTGTCCCTCTATCTGTCGGTGTGAACGATAATTTGGTTTAGAAATGTCCGATAGCTTTTAGATCTCCGTTAGTTATGAACTGAATTGCATGAAATTCAATATGCGCATAGCTTTAGCCATATAATACGCAATTCCAAAAGTTGAGTCGAATCGATTCAAAATTCACAGTGCCCTTTTCGCATCTCGACCAGTTATAAACCGAATTGCAAACTTTTTCATTTATACAAGTATTTGAATGAAATTTGATACATAGGCACTTGGAATAAATGAAAATCTAACGCCAGTTTCAAAATTTTATTTTGCGCATGCGCAGTGCCAACGTTTTTATCTATGGAACCATTTAAATGAAATTTGATACATAGGCACTTGGAACAAAGGAAAATCTAGCGCCAGTTTCAAAATTTTATTTTGCGCATGCGCAGTGCCAACTTTCTTATTTAGAAAAGCATTGAAATGAAATTCTTCTTATAAACTGAAATTGAAGTAGCACGTCAAAAATGGATTGCCCATGTGCAACGCTATCTTTCATATTTGTGGCCGGATTTTTACCATTTTAACAGAAGTTGCATCTTACAAATGGGAAATGAATGCAAGTGGAAATGCGCTTTTTGTAAATCGTTTACGATTACCTACTTTTTAACTTGTTTCTTATGGACGCCATATTGAATTTTTACGGAATGAGATAGAGGACAAAAAAGTAATTCATTTTAATGCATCGCCATCATGACCATGTTGATTCAGCAAGATCTAGTTACCTGAGAAGTGAATGTAAATTTTTTGATTTTGAAACTTTCTTGTAAATTTATGTAAACGTATAGTGACAGACGTCACGATTTTTCTTTTTTTTTGTGTAGCAACCTGTACCTTCTACATCTAGCGCGCTATAGAAGGTTCTAAAGGGAACCGTCCATTTTCGACCGTTTAAGGTACGGAAATTGAAAATGAAATTTGATTTATTCAATTTTTCGGTGATATCTCAGATATTTTCAAAGATTTAAAAAAATCTCAAATGCATTTTTTAGTCAAAATAAGGAGTAACTTTGCCCCCATTTAACATACACTGTATCTCTCATCGTTGCGGGGATCCCAATCGTGAGCCACGAATTTGAACCACCCTGTACACGCCTTATGGCTACTCTGATCATTTTTTTTCAAACAGGAAGCAAAATTTCGATATCAAGCGCCCGTAATCTGGTGCGAAGAAGCGCCCTATTGAAGTTCAGTGGCTCTTTCGATTTAAAGAGCTAAATGGCGAATTCAAACTGCATACGATAATTAAAGAACAGCATAAAGTAAACGTGTAGTTTATTGGCTTTCGCTCAAAATCTTCAAATCATCAAAGAATCAGCTGCCCAATTACGAGACCGAAGTTTCCGCTCAACCCGTCGCATTTTAGTCCAGGGTACTTATTTAGGGGATGATTCAGTACTCTAGTTGAGCGAAATCGTTACCTTTACCACTGCCTATTTAAGATTAATGATTTATTGTATATTCATATTCAACCGAGACCCTAAGTGTTCTAATTTTTATAATTTCATTGTCAATGTGGCCTCAAGCGAAGGCATGACAAATTAAACCATTTCAGGTAAAAAGAAAAGTAAGATCCCGGGTCCGTGCTCCTTTGCGCAAATGTCCACTTAATCATGAGCTAGCCGCCGGCATAAAGTTTTGCTAAAGTTTATCAGTTTTGAAAAATCAAATTTAGAGAGTACCAACAGAGATTATCAACCCATCATTACCTTGTGGCAGAGACCCGGACCCAAATGAAATATCGGTTCCGGTTCTGTTTATACTCGTATTTAAGCGAAAATATTTATAACGGTTCCGGTCCGGTTTCGGTTCTAAAAAGAAATAACGGTTCGGTTCTGCGCATTTTTTTCGGTCCATAATAGTATATTAAAGTACAAGTGTCATTTGACGAAGATTGTCGCACGAGGTAGTTTGCCGCATAAGCCGCGTAGCGGCGAATGCGGCAAAAGCCGAGTGCGACAAGTAGACAAATGACACGTGTGCTTTATACTATTTTTTCTATTTCGACTTTTATTTTAAATAATAAATTATACAAATTATAAATATTGCATTTAGGCGTTGTTAGGTAATTTTAAACTATCATTCAGTGTATGTTGGTAATAGACACAATTCATTTATTTTCACGTTGGCTAACCTGATTCCTGTATTTTCAAACTTCAAACTTTTAATTATTTGGTCATAATTCCATTTTGCGGCAGTTATGATTAATACGGATGACAAACACGTCTCTTGTACCCCACCAGAGATCCAAGAGATTGCCAATGAAGCGACGTTAAATTTACTGCCTGTAAAATCGAAAGTAAAGTACGAGGAGTACAAAATTTTTGAAAACTGGCTGGCCGAGAAGGGAGTTCAAAAAGTAAGCAAGAATGTACTGCTGGCATATTTTACTACGCTAAGTAAAAATAAAAAAAGTTCTACTCTTTGGAGTATATATTCAAAATTAATCGGAATTAATACAATCGGTCAAGTTCCTCGTACGTTATTTACACTTTAAAGGTTATGTTTAGTTTTGATTTGACGGATACCGTTGACAGCAAAAAAGCGAGGGGTACCAATCCAACAAAATAAAAAAAATAATGCGTTTCTATTTCTTTCAGCATCATTTCTGTCTAGAAACGCACGCAAACTGGGCCAATCAAGTACGGTTTTGGTATTGTTTCCACATCGAAATAGAAAAAAGTTATTTTCGGTTTTAGTTTTTCAGAAAGTATGGCATTCAAAAAATTCATTATAAAAACGTGATTTGTTAATTAATAGGTGTGAAGAAAAAGTCATGAATACCAAAACGTGACGTATCGTAAGTGTAGCTAATTTATAACGACGAGGGGAATAAGGGGGGAAGAGGGAAATATGTATTTACACTTAATTTATTACTAAAAAACAGAAAATTTTATTTTCTAAAACCTCGCACCTCCTTTTTTATTTTTTTTTAAGTAGTGGCTAAATTAGCGCCACCGCCACCCGTGATGCCTTCAATTTCGACACCTTATTAAAAATTTATAATCCGCCGATGGCAATTATAGAGTAATATTTTATCAATTTTCAGGACGTGGTTGCCGCCGCGTCCTTCAACTTCCAATAACCTGTTAAGAACCGTAAGAAACCGAAAAGAACCGAAAAAAGTAATATGGGTTCCGGTTCTCAATAAGTTTCCATTTCTGAAGGAATAACGGTTTCGGTGCGGTTTTCGGTTCAGAAAAAAATACCGGTTTCGGTCCGGTCCGGGTCCCAGCCATGTGGTAATTTATGAAGTTGGCTAGGGAATACCTTAAAAATCTATTTCTTGTAACTCTTATGGGCGCAAATGCAAATTTGCTAAATCGGCTTAAATTCAAATCGGACAGCTCACCAAATTTTGACTTTTTATCACAAAAAAACCTCATGTAAACATGAAAATTTCAGGACTATGAGTACAATTTCATAATAGGAACAGATAAGAATAACAAGAGTAATTCAGAATGATGAATGGGTAACGTAAATTATTTTGAGAGGATGCCAACACCTTTATTACTTTATTTAAATCATAATAATTTCAATGTGCTCATAATCGTTAGCGAGGTGAAAATTGCCATTAATTGCTTACTGATTACTACAAAACCGCGAATCTCAAAGTTTATGTAATTAATACGTAATTCTAACATGTAATACCTACTTTGTAGTTAAAAGCATCCGACTGTCGGCTAAACGCGATGGGTGGTCTAATTGGGGGTGTCTTAACGCAGCAACAATCACAGCACATTGTCAAACCGCGAATAAAGTCAAAAACGGTCACAAATCGAAGCTGTCTCACGAAATCTTTATTCACGCACTATAAATAAATTAACCTTTCTTGCACGTCTCATTTCGCGCGGACGAAATATTTCTTTAAATAATCAATTAGTCGAAATTAGAAAAAAGACAATTTGGCGTATTCTCAAAATTAAATATCTCCATTACATAATCAAAAAAAGAAGATTACACTTTTCCCACTAGACTTTTAAAATAGCCGGATTAGGTGACACAAAATTAGAAGTACGGGGAGGTCGACAATTAATACAAAAGGCCATCGGCTCGCCGCTCACATTATCTTAATTAATTTTTCGCGCCGAGATCAAAATTAGTAACACACTTTTGGATGCACTCAAGGTAGTGATGTTTACATCACAAAGTGGCGGACTTGGACTATCTCCATTAACTTGATGTTGTAAGCATACCATGCCGCATCCCACATTGATTCGTAATGGAGGCCGTTAATAGTTCACCATCGAAAATAAAAAGATCACGTGCGCCTAAATTTGTGGATGTCTTATGTCCAAAGCTACATTTAATTGTCTACTAAGTTACAATTTTAACCTACTGCCCCGATTCAGTTTGGAATTTGGCCTCATGATTTTCAAAAATTGGTGCCTGAACAGCCGAGTTATGGCGTGTACACACGAAGGAAGTACTTTTTAAATTACACAACTAGAGCGGAAAACCGATTTGACCCTATCTACGGGATTGTCCTTCAAAGGCAAGAAGTCTTGTAGACATTTAATGGGCGAACGGCTATTAACGATGCGTTAGAAACCAGAAGAGAACTTGTGGCACTAGAGTAGAGGAATTTAAACATTGCGTATCATCGAAATTTACATTTAAATTGGTTAACTGTAACGTAAGGGGCATGCATTTATTTCTGAGTTGTTTATTTTCTATTAGGCTTTGTTTTTTACTAAGTTTCGGAAAACTTTCGAGTCGAGATACCGGGCATTTATATCATATTTCGTCTTCTTAATGAGTGCTATTTAGTTACACCTGCAAATGCAGCAAGAGATAATTCCTTGGAGCATGAGAAAAATCATGGATGCGTAAGTACAACCCCAAACTCATTCATTTCTTCTTGAGAAAACAAGGTGGACATAATTACTTCACGTGATGCAGTACTAATTAACAGCAAATGTGTTTCGCATTTTACGAAGATGGAAGTTGTAACAAAGCACCCATTTTGCGCTGTCAGATCTACCAGCTTTGAGGACCACCCGGTACATGAACGCACGAGACGTGATATAAATTTGGGGCACTTCGTTACGAGAAACCGTAGTTTCTGGACCTATGTAGTTCCTTACTAGGAAAAGGTAAAAGTAAATGTTTTGATTGCTATGGTCGTGTTTTAGCCGTCGATATTGAAATCCAGATGCTGTAACTAATTTGCCGTTTGTAACCGTTCCCTTGCAGCATCCGAAAGCTCCCTTCGATTGGAAGAGGAGGGAAAGTTAATTTTGTATGATTTCAATCAGATCCGAATAGGAAACAACACTTTAAAGGATGTAAAGGAATTTTGCCATTTAGGTAGTAAGGTTACACAAGATAATCGTAGCAAGCAAAATAACAAATCCAGGATAGCGCAGGCTAAAAAAGCATTTGAACAAAAGCGGGACCTGCTGAGATCCGGGATAAATATAGAAATTAGTCTTTATGGTTCAGTGGTAGAGCATTAGCCTATAAATCCGGAGGTCGGGTGTTCGAACCTGGGTTGAGGTGAATTTTTCATCTGTGGCAGAGATTGGAATTTCTTTAGATCAGTTTCTAGTAGAGAGGGGTTAGGGTTAGGACGTAGGCAAGGGTAGTTATGTAGAAATGAAAATATTAGCCAGGATAGGGAAGAGTGGAGGACTGCGTCCAACTAATCCTAGGATTGTGAGTGCCCATGAACCTAGCAGAGCAAGGTCAGCAGAACACAATCAAACATATTGCATAATTAGGTGCTAATTAAGTGCCCTATTCCCGAATTAAATGCTCCTTTTTTATAAATTATGAAAATAGCAGAACATGTAATAATTTTAAAAATGGGAGCATTTAATTCGGGGATAAGGCACTTAATTAGCACCTAATTATGCAATATGTTTGATTGTATTCTGCTGACCTTGCTCTGCTAGGTTAATGGACATGAGTGTGGATTCGAAGAAGAAAAACATGTTGGTTTCCCAATGCTATACGAAAACGAGCATTAAAACTGCAAGGCCGTGGAGTTTATTTCATTATCGCGGACCTTTTGCAATTGACTCAAAATTCCATGTAACAATAGATTATTGAATTTAGATAACGTAACATACATAAAATCAGCCAGAAGGAAATCTGCTCAATATGTAACATTAACCAACGTGAAACTATAGAACACTTATTTTTTCAATGCCCATTCTACAGTCATATTCGTTCAAGCTACCTAGGAGAGATAAACTCCCTGGTTGAGCTGGCCAATGCTCTGGAGTCGGACTCATATAACATACTCTTTTCGATGGGTGGTTTTGTCACCTCTATGTTGAGAGCGCGATCATTCCTATTAAATGAGTAATTTTTTTTAAATATAATTTGTAAAACCACAATGATTCAACTTTTTTTTTTCTCTCATGTCTCATAATTATCTTAATATCTTTATTTTTTTTGTTAAATTGTTTTCGTTAAGGTATTACGCACTGTTTTAGCACGTTTGTACCCTTGTAATAGGAAATTATAATCCTTTAGATACAATAAAAGAAATAATATTGAATTTAGAAATTTCAGTCCGGCCAATTAACCGTAGTTAATCCGTTTGAAGTAAGTTTAGTGTCAAATGACACGCGCTTATTTAACATGATTAGGCTTAGGTTTTTATTATGACCGCAGAAGCCGAGAAATGAATTAGTTCGGCGAGTCTTCCTATATAAGCAAAACTGAATGTTTGTTTGTCTGTCTTATGCCTGTCTACACCGTTCATGCGATTGCGATAAAGTTTCCGTGTTAGTAAAACATTTTCCGAAATTCCCACGGGAACGGGAACAGGAAAAATACAGATTTTGTTTTATAGCCGAAAACATTCCTTTGAAGGTGTACTACCCGTGGTACTCCCAAAGAACTCCCCGAAGTTCCCACGGGAACGGGGCAGGGAAAAAACGGGATTTCCCAAAGACGGTGCGAATTGCGCCGGGACTGCTACTAATAAATAAACGGTACCTTGTAAATGAATGATCTCGTAGCTAACGCTGGTGATACAATAAGAAGGTCGGAACGGGTTCTTAAAGCTGCAGAACCTTCCGACGATAAAAAAATCCTCCAGCGAAATCAAAAGTTCTAGGGTGTACTTTTTGTAGCACAGTTAATCCTTATGTCTATGAATTGCAAGCATGTAAGATCCGAGAACATTTGCATTAGAAATGAGTGGACACCATTTTTATTCTCAGTAAAGAAGAAATTTGTTTACTAATTTTTCGCTCTAATCGGCAGTTAATGTTTTTTCCACTGCGGGCACATTTGCTAATTTCGGAGATTTACGTATTCCAACAATCAAGTTTAATCCCCCTTTGTTCACTAACGGCGCAACATCAGAATTTTATTGTAGCAACAATTTAATTGATTTTCCCGTCTAATTGCTACGCAAAAGATTTTAATTAAATAACCCAAATTTACTCAGTAAAACACAAACCTCTTCTGTAATTATAAGTATAACCCCGCGCGTATTTCACAATGAGGTTTTAACGTCCTCTGCCTTGAGGGTGTAATAAATGACAGTCTCTTAATCCCCTTTGCAACGAACCACTCGCCTTGAATAGATTGCATTTTTTAAGTGACCGAGCAATAATAAATTGCTCGATATGCACTAAGTATATGTTGACGGGAGTAAAATCATCGTAACGCCACATGGATATGGACTACGTTTCTATATTCTGTGATCATCACGCGTACCGCTCGGCAGCAGAAGGCTCACAATTGTTTAAAGCGCATTTGTCTATTTGAAAGGAAATATGGCATTATAATCGTCTTTGAAATTGACTAATTAACACATTTGAAGCGTGTCACTTTTAAATTTTTTATTTCCTAAAAGTACTAAGATAAGGACCGTCGTCAGTGACCCGTCGAAAGGATCTGAATCAAGAATTATCAAGAAGAGGTTCCGCCAGGGTGCGGATCTCCGCTAACAACTCGACACTAACCAGGATGCCGCGGGCGGCATCCATTGATCTTAACGCTCCGGTTCTGAAGATGCCGGCAATAAAAAAGGTCTGTTTTCCGAAGTGACCGCCGCCATGTGTTGAACTCGTCCGATTCGGGGAGTTGCCGTTTACTCTGAGTTTACCCGAAGCAAGGCCGTACCCCTTGGTATCGCTCGAGTTCGTCCGTTCCGCCGACAGCACATCCAGGTTGCCGTCGATTGCCGCTACTCTCGTCCGCTCACAAGATTTAGTTATTATAATTTGTAAATTGTATTTATTTTTCTTTTGAATTATAAACTTGTAGCAAATGTAGCAAACGAGTTTCTGGGTCACTGAACATTTAATGTCTTCCTTGGGTGATAAACAAAATACTGAAAACAGAATTGGAAAATTCGAAACCGTTCGGGAGTTATCTTGTCCACTGACGGACGGACGGACAGACAGTCCAAAATCATGAACTCGCTAGGAGCTCGTTAAGAATTATTCCGCTAATGATTATTCAATTTTTCATGCCGTGCAGGATTTATTACCGAAGTTCGTCGCACCTTCTAGAGATTACTTGATTCTACTGTAGGTAAAACTCGCGGAACTTCAATTTAAATTTCGCACTCGAATTTTCTAATCTTGGGGTTTTCTATTATGCCCCAACAAACGCTTTGTGAATTTGAACAAATTTACTTAGCGATACAAACGGTTAAATTTTCAGTATTTCAAATGCGAAATAATCAAAATTTTAAATTCGAAATTGAATGGTCGCACTGATGACCAAAGGTGAATTGATTAATTTTAACTTTCTCTATGGATCACGCACTGGTCTCGCTTCGTACTTAACCACGAATCTTTTAAAACTGTTTCCCAAAACGAATCCTCTCTATTCCTTATTAATTAAAGAACGCCTACAAAATGGCATCTTTATTCACGCACACGGCCATCTTTAATCGTTCATTTGTTTGATTTATTCCCGCTCTACGAATTAAATTAATTAAAATTAAATGTCGAAAAGCCGAGCTACAGTTAGAAAGTAATCAACGAACGGTTTTAAGGAATTAGAACATCGACCTTACAGTCCCGATCTGACCCCCTGTCATTATTATTTCTTTCCAAAACACAAGAGAGCGTCGGTTTTTATCGAATGAGTTAGAAATTGCTGTGGAGTTGTATTTTGCAGAACCACAACACATTTTTTTTTGGAGGATAAGTGTATGACTTATGCTAAAAAATAT